TGATCAACTTTGCTTTGCTTGCTCCCATTTATAAGCATACCCAAGACTAGCCCAACCTTTGTACAACTCAACCAATATCTGCACTCCAATCTATAAAAGCTTTCTCCAAACTTATGAATGTCAGTGAACATGTCACATAGACAAGATGAGCTTTATTTCTCAAAATTTTTTCTTATTCTATCAAGATGTTGAGGCAACTATAAGTATATCCAAGCCCGGCGAGCATTTCCCTTCACCTCGACTGGCCGCCCCGGCCTGGCGAGTTTCTCACTCCACTCTAACCGGCCACCCGGGCCCGGCGAGCATTTCACTTTACCTCGACCGATCGCCCCGACCCGATGAGTTTCTCACTTAACTCTGATTGGCCGCCCCGACCCGACGATCATTTCACTTCACCTCGACCGGCCGCCTTGGCCCGACGAGCTTCACACTTCACTTGGACCGGCCGCCCCGGCCCGACGAGCATTTCACTTCCCCTCGACTGGTCGCCCCGACCCGACAAGCTCTTAGCTTCGCCTCGACCGGCCGTCCCGACCCAGTGAGCTTTTCACTTTACTTTAGTTGGCTCTCTCGAGCCGGTTGGCGTGACACTTTAGCTAAACCGGATGCCTTGATCCGGTTGACCGACTATTTGCACCATCATACTAGCTTGCATGCGTGTTTACATTTTTACATTTTGTAGTGCATATGTATGGTCGCATCACAACATCCTACTCTGCATTTGTCTGTCTGCATGGTTTTGGTCATATACTTAGGTTGCACATTCTCTTTGGGCCTCTGTCGTCATGGCACGCCTACCCTTTACAGGTCACTGCCCTATTGGCACACTTCTTGGAGCAACTGCCACCACGGCATGCTACCTTCATCGCGCCGCTGCCACCATGGCACGCCTACCTCATTGGGTCACTACCGCTTCGGTGTATCCCTTTGGGTCACCGCCGCTTCGGTATACCCCTTTGGTCCACTGCCACTACGGTACGCCCACCTCTGTTCGAGTCCCTCTGCCCCATGGTACACTGGTACACTCATCCCTTATATACTTTGATTGTTCATTTGCATTTGCATGTCCATATGGATAGTGAGCCAGACCTGTTAGGAGAGCGAATCCTGTGTTGGTCTCGATGCCTTAACGAGCATTGCTCGTCGGGTCGATTCCGAGGAGCAATGCGAGTTAAGTCATCGGGATCGACATGAGTATAACTGTGTTAAGAATCCAATGGATCTAACTTGTGCCACCTCCTTTCATGACACCTTTTAGATCTATTGGATCCTTAGGATGGGGCCGGTCAGATGACCCCATCGAAGTCATATCATACCCATACTCACCCCACACTGAGATATTAGGTTGACACACTTTTCGTTAGATGGTGTGCTAGGCTAGGGCTTAGAGTACTAGGTAGTATTTTTTGACACCTCTGGCTATTGTTGTGTGATGCATTGTTTTGTGCTAGCCATGTGTCACCTTCCAACTTTTTCAGTGTGTTTGAATGCTCTCTTGTATGTGATAGTATGTTAGGGCGATCTTCTGCAGGTGTCGTGTCTACTTATACACACTCACACAAAGCTATTATGGGGGAGCATGTAATGATTTCTAATCATTTGCTTGCAGGTGCTCTTTAGCTCCCCCAATTATAAGACACGGCTTGTTATTTTGCGATGCATGACATGTCTGCTAACATTTGTTTTCTGTAGGTCGAGTCTTTATTTTCCAAATGTATTTGATAGAGTCCTAGGAGAGTCTGTATCGGAAATAAGGTACGGGCACATGTTTTGAGGCGGATGACGCGTCGAACCATGTGACGAGGGCCAGGAGCAGCAGCTCGTGTCCCGTACCTTAAGTCTGAATTTTACATTATTGTATAGACTTAGGACCGGACATGTATATGAGGAGTCCGACCGCTTTTACTGCTTTCACTGGATTATGTTACCAGTCCAGCAGCATTTGACCTGTTATATATTCTTTTGGGGTGTTTTCTTTCTCTTTCTCTTCTCGTGTGCATTTGCATGTTGGAGCATTTTATATTGTTTCTTTCTGTGTATCTGGGATCTCATGATGCAACATAGGCTCATTAGGATTTAAATTCCTAATTTTTCTACTTTAAAAAATCCTAAATAAAATATTCAAGATAATTAAAATTTAGGATTAAAATATTCAGGATTTAAAAATTGCAACATTTACTTTCCTGCATATATTAATAGGGCCTCCACAGTGCTTAAGGACCGCTTTAGATAACTGCATTCATATTCGCATGTCCCGAGGAGGAGCCCCCGTGCTCCTTCAATCTGACTGGCCCAACATACCCTTTTATAGGTGGTTGTCTAGAGCGCTTAAGATGTTAGAAGGCTCCCCGACCCATACAGGGTATAAGTCCTTTTGTTGGGAGCGTTTCCAGCTTTGCAGCTGAACCTCCACTTTCTTTTCTTTCCTGAGGCATTATCGCCACTTCGGTAGGTACAAGTCCTACCTCTTGAAGTTTCAGCCGATAGTCATAGGATAGAGTTTTGTTCCTTTGACCTTAGGGCTATCGGAGTTCCCGTGGATGACGCAATTCACGGATTGCTGACCGGAGATCTCAGGTTGTGTTGGGTCGACGTGTTGGGTCCAGGTCGTGTTGGGTCGACAACCTTCACGACCAGGTAGACCTAGGGTCCTAGTTGCTTGGGATGACGGGTCCGTGGTACCCCGACCCAGTTACCTCTACCTCTTAGGACCACTCTTACTTACTTTTTGCCCACCTCCTTTGAGCATTGTCTCTTCTTTTGCCTTTGTTGGAATCATCCCAACGGCCTGACGACCGATGAGCTGCTGCCCGTTTCGGATACGACGATTTTTCCTCTGCCCTTACGGTTCGGATGTGCTTTGACGTATCGGGACTTCCCGTTGGGATGATATAGTTATTTTGTAGGTTTTGTATGCTCATGATTACGTTATCTATATGGGGACCATGAGAGACTCACTTCTCGCCCCATGGTTTAATGGTTTAGCAAGAGCTTTGAAGGCAAGAGCTTTGAAGCATCGGGACATTCCCCTGCGAGATAACTTCCCTTTACGACCCTGTGCTAGTTATCATTTTTCAGGTAAGTAAAACCCCTTTGGATCAAGAGTTTTCTTGGGAAACACCCAAGATTTAATTAACTAAGTGGGATGCGTCCCTTTAGGAGCACTCATGGCCCCAGAACAGGAACCTACACCTGAATCTCTGGTTATGGGTAGACTACGTAGGTATTCTTTCACAGATATCGGTTTAAGGTGCTTTTGTCTGATCCTGTTTGGGTGGGCACTCTTAACCTATCCTTGCAAGGTTCACCGTACGTAAGCTCTTCACATTTTGTGTTTTCTCTTGTCTGTCATTTTGTAGTATGTCCGTCTTTTTCGGTTTCCCTCTTCTTCAGGCCATCCACATGACCCGAAAGAGAGATTTATTCGGAAAAGGGAAGTATACGACGATCGACAGACTGACGACTCCTAAAATAAAAGAGAGAAAAACAAACGAAAATAAAATGATCTTAATTTATTAAAATTAAATGAAAACTCAATAGGACACAATGGAGAAAAATGATTCGTGTAGCCGACCCCACTTAGTGGGATAAAGACTTGTTATTTTTGTTATTGTTGTTGTATTATTGTCACTATTTTGTATACTATTTTATCCTCTTATTATTATAGACAATATATTTATTTTTATTTCACATATATGTTTTATGTCATATCTCCTTAAATTATTATTTATTATTTCATTTTATTTAATTTTTATTATTTATTATTTATTATTTTATCCTTCCAATAATTTATGTAAATGAGCTATATGCTTATATAATTTTCAATTAGGTATATTTAGTTCACATATTTATTTATTTGTTTATTTTAAACTAAGTTTGAGCATTTGTTCAAACTTGCCTATATCCTCTCTTAAAGTCATGGTCAAAACATTAGTTCAAATATGAAGCCACAACAATGTTTGAACTATATTCATACTTTATATTTGAACCTCCATTTCAAAGTTAATAGTCTAACCTTAGATTCAAATGCAATTTAAAACCTATGGGTTTAGAAGTGAAGTTTGAATCTCATATCATCGTTTGAAGTTCATTATTTAACCAAAGTTTCGAACTTAATGTTAAGATTTTTCGTTCAAACATAGCAATTAAACCTATCTATTTATTTTCATTATAAAGTATTTAAAAAAATCGTTGAATACATTCTAATTCAAGTAAAAAAAAAAGATTAAAAAGTTAGCTTTAAAGAGGAGATGCCTCTTAAGGCTTCAAAAGAGCATCACTAATGGTGGGAAGTGGCTTGAAAAATAAAATCCAAGGAAATATTTGAAGGTTCCTATTAATATGATCAACTATTTATCATAATATAATGATAAGCATAGAGAATATTGCTAAAAATTATACATATAATGAGCATATTTGTTCAAATAGACAAATTATAAGGAGTTTCCGATCAAATATATACTTTTTAAATAGTAAAAAATTATGAACAATAATATAAAATGAAATTATTTTTTGCTTTTTAAATAGTGAATTTTCAAACATTAATTTGATGTAAGCAGCATGAAAATTTAATTTAATTATATATATATATATATATATATAATTTTGATTTTGAAAATAGTATTTTCCGTTGGATCCCCATCAAACACAAACGCGCGAACAATCCCCTCACATTTCCTTAATAGCCGCCAATCTTTGGCCACACACCTTCGCGCCAAAATCCACCCACCTTCCCCGCAAGAACGCAACTTCGGGCGATCAGTTGATTTCAATCTAATGGCTTGCCCTGGTTATCACTCACCCCAGTTCTCAGAGGTTGGCCATCTTCCCTTCTTCATCTTTCTAGTATGCATAATCTCTGGCCGCTCATTGTTCTCTCCAGTTTTTTATCCCTCTTGGTTTCTATTTCCCTCCAAGCTTTCATCGCGAGATCATACTTCGCCAGCGTTTCGATTTATTCTAGATACTGTGGTTGGGGTGCTTTCTGAATGCGCTTCAGCTGCGGTTTTTATCTTCATTTTTTTTTATCAATTTGTATTTGGACGGTCGAATGCGATTTATTTGCAAGCGAATGCCTAATTTATGCTGCTAAGTCCTAATTCCGACCTGGTTTTGAAATTGATGTGGTTCAAGACCGTTGATTGTTTTGCTTGGTTGTTATCTGAATTCAGGTCTGGTATTGCTTTATTATTATTATTTACATTTTGTGCTTGGTTGATCGAATGTGGTATTTTTTTCGTTCAAGAAGGGGCGCATAGTTTCTTGTTGCAAGTTATGTTGCAAACTATTGAGTGCTTTTGTTTCTATTTTAATCCAGGACGCAGCTTGGCTCCCTATTTGGCTACAGCCATATGAGCATCCAAACAACGAATTTCACGCCAAAAGTCAAGAAAATGCAATTCCAGATATGGTCAAGGTGAGTATCTTGCTTTCATTCTGTGATTCTTGGTTATATAGATTGAGTTATTGGAACATTCATTGTGGAATGAATGTGCTTGTTCAGTACTTTTGTTTGGTTTCTGGTGAATGAAATGTAAGTTATGTTTTTTTTTTCACTTTTTACATGTGTGTGGCATCAGAAGACATGTTCTTATGTTTAGTAGCTTCTTCTTTTAATGGTATTTTCAATGATTCTTATGTTCAGTAGCTTCCACATTATCACTCTATCATGTTGTGCTTTGTCAGTCTTGGTCTTATGTAAAGTAAGTCTGCTCTCGCTAAGTCACGGAATTTCCAAGCTTTGCATCGTTATTTCCATCTTTCCTTATAATCATATGTTTTAAAAAATGATCATATCATGTTATTTTTCATCTTATCAAATTTCAAATTGTTATTTAATAGCCTTAGTTGGGAAACCACCATGATTAAGGAAACACTTTTTCTCCATTTGTGTTGTTTTTGGTTCTAGTTTGGAAACTTGTTCTTTCAGTTAAGCTGCTTTCTTTAGGTTATGATTTACAAGTATCTAACAAATTTCTTTAAAACATATTTAAAATTATATATTTTGAGCTACAACTTTGAAGACAAAAGAGTAAAAGCATTAACTATAATTCTTACAATTTATTCCATACAAAATGTATAAAAAATATATGTCAGTGCAAAAAATAAATGTAAATGTCTTTCAGATGACATCTTCACCACTATAACTGGCTTGAAATGAAACACAATATTTGTTTTCAGATTGAATCGGTTTGAGCAAAACTTTGTTGGAATCAGATTCCAATTTTCTCAACCCTGTTTAGAGTTGGCTCAATTCTTTCCTCTGCTAGAAGTGAACCGCATTGAGTCATGTTTAGCCTTATAATATAGTATCCAACCTGATTCTCCAATCCAGCCAAGGCAAAGCCTGTGAACATACTATTATTGGATTTTTTTTTTGATATAATGGTGTGAAAAAATTAGTTTGGCAACCAACAATGTAATGTCCAAAGTTGTCATATTTGTCCATGATTCATTTTTCTTAAAGAAGTTGTTCATGAGTACCAAATGGAAGAAGACTTGGTGGTAGTAGTGAAGTTGAAAAAAATCAGCCACAAAATTTTGAATCATTTTTGCAGTATGTTAGGTTGAGCCGAGTTATTTGGAATGGAACCTTATTTTGATGCTATTAGACCAATAACTCTAATGTTTGGAGTCATGCCTATTGAGATATGCTTCCGCTTTCTTCCTTCATTTTACTTATGTCAGCCTTGACAAGACATAGCATTGGCTGTGTACATATGTTGAATTAGCATTTGGCGACAGATGAATTGGAGTTAAAAGCAAATAAGATCATGGAGCATAAAGGAAGGTATTTTTGATGCAGCACCGCAGCAGAACCATACAGATATATGCAGTTTGCAACAAACTAAACGCAATAACTAATGGTTGTAAGGGCTGCAGATATGCGTCAGTGCCCTTGTGGTATTTTAGTGGATAGTTAGACTCAAGTAGATGGACGGCGACAACAACAACAACAAACCTTTGTCCCATTAGGTGGACATCAACTTTTTAAAAAGTGTAAGCAAGAAGAAAATTTGTTGACCACCTTGTATAAGAGAACTTAAATTTCATCATTTTAATCTTATATAGTTAACAATATTAAATATATTTTGCTATTATTAATTAAATAAATATTAAAAATAAGAATTTTTCATACATAACAAAATGTATGCTCTTACAATTTGCAATTAGTATCATTAATTTAACACATCAAAACATATCACACTAAAATGAACTTAGTCATTTAATATTTATTATATTAAAATTATATTAACATAAAGTGGACTTAAGTTACAAATAAATAAATACATAATAAGTATATACAACTAAAATTATCAAATTATTGGAGTGGTTCGCTATTCAAATAAAACTGATCAAAATAGGCGTTGCACTTGTATGAACGTAGAAAATAATATGAGAAGCAATTCAAAGAAAACAGTAAATAGGTGGTAATGTGAAAGGTTGATGAGAATGTACATAACGTGAGGTTAAAGGCAAAATATTACAAAGGGACGATGTGAAAATGATATGAAGTTTTTTGGAATTGAACCTTTTAGAAGGGGAATCTTAGGCTATATTAGAAGCAATGATTTTTAAATTTGCTTTTTGAATCTTTTTTTTTTTTCATTTTTCTTACATTTGAAAAGCATACAATGTTGAATTAGGGTACCAGAATTTTTTAAAAAATAAAGCGTAAGTTTCCATCTTTCAAAGCACATAATGAAGCGTACACTTGATACTGGAATGCTTGGAATGCTTATGCATTATGTCACAAACACTTTGATATTGTGCTCTTGAGTAATTGGAACTGTTACAATTTGAAGTGGCCATTCCAGCGCTTTAAAGAATGTTTTTTTTTTTTGGTGATATATAACTATATTACAAACACTTTGATATAGTTAGGCTGTCAAATAAATAAATGAGCCGAACATGAATAGTTTTTTTGAACTTGGTTTATAAATGAGTTAAGTACAAAGAGAACTGTGTTTGATCGTGTTTCTTGTTATTGTTCAAATTAGAAAATTTAATTTAAAATAATTATATATAAAAAATTATAACTATATTCTAAAAGAAATTTTAAATTTACTATTTTAGAAAATATAAAAAAAAATTAAAATTAAATTATTTTATTAAATAATAAATATCTTAATTTAGAAACCTACCCTAATTCTAATTTACAATTCCTTTTAATAAATTATTAAAAAGCCCTGATACTAATAATTTCTATTCCTCTCCTCTCTATATTCTATATTCCTATTTCCCTAATCGCTTCGCGGTCGCATTTTCATTTCGAGTTGGCTCTTGGGTGAAACTTCGAGCAACGGGCTCTCATTCTTTGAGTTAGGATTTTTGTTTCGTCTCCGACGACGCGATTTCCTTTCCCTCTTTCTCCTGTAAAGGAGTAGTCATCTCTTACTCTCTCTCACTTGTGGCTTGCGAGTCGTGACTCGCCTCTGTGAGCTTTTTATACTATGAAATCTGAATCTCTCATCTCATTTAGTCATTCTTGTGACAGTTCTTTGGCTAGCCCCTCTCTTGTCTCTCGTTTTTCTTATTTAAGATTATATTATTGCCATTTTGGGCTAGAATGGGAGTATGATTCGTTTATTCTTTGGTTAAGATTTAGTACCTCGGTATATCGACTGCAATACTATTTGGTTTTAAGGCAGTGTTGCTTTTTTTTCTGAATAGTTGTTTTAATTTGATTCTTTAGATTGTTGCTTCGATTTTAGCCTCTCATATAAGTTAGTTTGATTTATGACAATGATGTTGCGTATCACAGTTTTTGGTCTTGCTTCAAGTACTTATATCTAGTTCGTTTGTGCTCAGAAGTCAGATCAGTTCACTTTTGATGTTGTTGGACTTGTTTTATTAAGATATTTAGTTCAGTTATACATTTATTGAAATTTCAGTTTGGGTAATTTTGTATTTGATGAGTTTGGGCATTTAGTTCAGCTCAGATTTGTTCACTTTTATATGCAGGCCATCAATGTTCATGTGTTGATAAGTTTTTTCCTTAATCTATTTTAAACTTAAGGAAGACTACATGATACATATAACATATTAACATACATTCATATAAATGTTGTCATGTTGGTGGATTTATCTCATTGAATTGTTTTATCATAGTTTGCATTTATATAAATTTTTTTTAATTATTTTCAAGAATGAGAAGACATTTTTATTATGTGTTTAATTATATGTGAATTTAAAGTTGCGTAAGTTTATGTGTTCTAATGTAAAGTTTATGCACTTGAAAATTGAGATTTTAGATTTGGAAGATATGAGCAAAATGAAGAATGTATTTTTCTTTCTATTTGTAATGTAATTATAAAATTTTAATTTATTTGTTATTTATTATATAATAATGATTTGTGGTGATCGAGAATTTAAGATTAGAGCTTCAAATTTATATTATATTTGTTATTATAATTTATAATAAGAATGTTGAAATAATTTTTTTTTAATAGAAGGATGCTTTTTTTTTTTGTAATTTTATAAGAAATAATTAAATTTTTTTTTTTAATAGAAGGATGCTTTTTTTTTTGTAATTTTATAAGAAATAATTAAATTTATTATTATTATTTATTTCTTCCATCTAATTTCGAACGAGTGCGAAGAAATTGAATTTAATTCGAACGGAACATAAACATCCTATTTAGGAAAATACAGTAGCTAAATTGCAACAGGTTCATTTATATTTCTGCTTGTTTACAGCACTGCCCATATGCGGGAAAAATTATTCCATGCTTGCGTGCGGACGCCGATCCGGACCGTAAATCATGAATCACATGATTTACGGTCCTGATGTATTTCGGTAGGCCCCACCTAAAATTTTTTAATATTTTATTTTTTAAAAAAACGGAAATAATCCTGACCGTAAATACGGAAATAATCCTGACCTTAAATCACCGACCAGGTTCACCGCACGGCAATCCCTTCCTCGGTACTCGTCGAAACCGCTCGAGCGACCAGGTTCTCCTCCCATTCGCACAGTACATGCGCGGCGACCTTGGCTCCCTTCAACTGCAATGGCGTGGAACCTTCCCGCACAAGCAAGCGTTGTCATCGTTCGCTTCCACACCTCGACACCCAGGGACGATTCCACTGCAAGCGTGAACTGAGCCCAAAAGCAGTGTCGTCTTCCCTTCTAGGTTTCAGAACCCTCACTCCTCATTCTCCTTGGTTTCTGCTCTCTCGACTTGGCTGCACTTAGAATTTAATTTAATCAGGATTAACTGATAAATCCGGATTTTTTAAATTCAGTGATGTTAAATCCGAAATTATGTTTGGTATGATTTCATTTAAGTCCACATAAATCTATATGGAATGTTTGACATTTTATTTCAGGATTTAACAAGTTAGGTGGCGATCCCCTTAAGTCCACGTCCCGATCGGATTTAATAACTCCCGGATTTACGTAAATCCATCTTAAAATAGGTTACCAAATAACGCCTTAGTCTCTATTTCTTCTCTGTTCGCTTCGAGTGGGGACTCTTGTTAACACAGAACCATGGAGGTAGGGCTGTCAAAAAAGCTCAATGTTCGCGAACAGCTTGTGTTCGGCTCGTTCGTTAAGTAAACGAGCCAAACACGAACAAATTTTTAAAGCTCGAATTATAAACGAGCCGAACACAAACATTTCTTTGTTTGCTCGTGTTCGGTTGTTCGCATTTGGCTCGTTTTAGCTCGAAATAAAAAAAAAATTATATAATTATTTATATGATAGTATATTACATATATTATTTATATAGTAATATATTATATATATTTATATCTAAGTTTAAATCATAACATCTCATATGATAATGTGGTTAATCCCTTTTTTTGTATATATTTGGTCCATGTTCGAATTTCACACTATAAATCTATTTTTTTCAATTTAATTTTAACGAGCCAATTTCGAGTCCAACACGAACACGAATATTTAAATCGAGCCGAACACGAACGCACTGTTCACGAGCCGATTTCGAACATGAGCCGATTTCGAACACGAGCTATTTCAAACGAGTCGAACACGAGCTCGCTCAAGCTCGGCTCGTTTACAGCCCTACATGGAGGCGGTTATATGTTCAAACCAACAATTTTTTTTAAAATACAGTTATTGCAAAATATGAATATGAAATTAAAACTCAAACTAAATCTAGAAATAACTCATAGAATGCGTTTAATTTTAACGAGCTAATTTTGAGCCGAACACGAACACAAATATTTAAATCGAGCCGAACACGAACGCACTGTTCACGAGCCAATTTCGATCACGAGCCGATTTCGAACACGAGCTATTTCAAACGAGTCGAACACGAGCTCGCTCAAGCTCGGCTCGTTTACAGCCCTACATGGAGGCGGTTATATGTTCAAACCAACAATTTTTTTTAAAATACAGTTATTGCAAAATATGAATTTGAAATTAAAACTCAAACTAAATCTAGAAATAACTCATAGAATGCGACTCTGTTTCTTAATTTTGTTGCATTATATTTTGCGCATTTGCATTAATCAAACATTGGCTTTTAAATGAATATTGTCGTATATATGGAAATGTATATGATTGTTATGTGAGTTCATTAGAATGTTTAGGAACTTCTAGAAATTGCTATGATTTAGTTTAAACTTTAAATATATTTTGCACATGATTTGCACTCCATCTATTTATTTTTACATATCTGACCCATAGATCCTTATTGAACTTATTGTTAGTAATAATTCAGTGTGTTTGTGCATGCTTTACCTTTTAGAATTAGCATTGATATACCTCTTAGTGGTGCAACTCAGCAAGTCTATCAAGAAGTTGAAGCACTATCATGCCCCTAATAATTGTTTTTGCTTCTACAAATGGAGTTTATATAGGTCAGGTGTATTTCTATACTTGCCACAGCACTTCTAATTGTAACATTTAGACAGTTTTTAAATATTATAAAAACATGGATATTGTTTGTTCTTGAGAGATTATAGGGTTCTTTTGATGGAATGTATTCCTTCTTCAACCTTTATGGGAGATTTCACCATTCTTACTTTTTAGAGGAGAGATTGTTGTCCAAGTAGTATTGATTGTTTTGGTTGTTTGTCATCTGATTGATGATCTATATAGAGATGATTTTCTTTATGCGTTTGCATTTTTGATTTATTAGGAATTGGTGGTTTTAACTTTAATTCTTATTTTCACGAGGATTGCCTTATGATCAGCCCTTAGAGTAAGTTTAGAATTCCAATTATTAGGCTGTTTAAAAGTAGTTTGTTACGCTTCATAGAACCTAGTTTCTTTTTTTGAACAAAATTTCAACCTATATTTTTGGCTATCTAGTTTCATTTTTTAGTATTGAACATCATTATATTGTGGATCCATTGTTTGGCATATATTGTTTCATTTCATTCAGTTTCTTACGTAGTATAAAATTTTGCTGCCTGTTTGGTTGCCTACCCTATTTCACCTTCTTACAAACAAATGAAAGAACTGCTTTCCAAGGCACAGTAATTTTCAAGACCTATTTTATGAATTTCTATTCATTTTACATATTCCACTTCTGCCTATCTTGTTAAGCAGAATCTTCTGCATTCACTATTTCAGTTTCCTTTTCTAATATATATGTATGCGTATGTGTGCATACACTACATGATAGTTTCATCATTCAATTATTGCATGTTCTCATGATTGCAGGCCTGATAAATTTTGCATGTTTCTAATATTTCTACCATTCGAAGGAATTACCAATGCTTATTAGTAAGTATAAATTGAATATTATTGCTGGATATTCCTATCTTTTGGCATTTGATTTGATGGCGGCAAAACTTTTTTTACCCACAAGGTTTCCATTATTTTTAATGAATCAATTAGTTTTTAAAATATGACACTCAATAGAACACAATGAAGAAAAAGGATTCATGTAGCCAACTCTACTTAGTGGGACAAAGGCTTGTTGTTGTTTTTGTAGTTTGTTTATAACTTATTGACCTTTCTAGTTTTGATCATGGTCAGGAATGTCAAACTTTACACGAAGGTTTATTCAAAGGGAGTAACACTCAATCAATTACAAGTGGAGCAGCCAAATATACTAGCTGTTTCTTACATTTATCTGGCGATGTTGAACAACAGGTTGGAAGTGCTTCTTGTTCAGATGTAAGGTTCAATACCTACTTAGTAAGCAACAAGTTGTGTACTGTTATCTTTTGGAATTATGCGTGTTTTTATTTATTTATCATGTTTATAGTCTTTTTCCATCAAGAGTAATTTCTTTTGAAAGTTGGCTCACCTTTTCAAATAATGTAGCTCTTTAAAGAATCCTTTCTTTCCACGTGTTAGACTTTGATGTTTATCCCCAGGTCATTCATTTTGATGCAACTGGGTTGCATTTCTTACCTTTTTTTTTCTGCATGTGTTAATTCAAATTTAACCTTTTCCAATTGCCAATGCCTCACAGTGTGCATCATTTCCCAATTTTGATACCAATGATTTTAATATTTATAGAGGAGGATCCTTGCTACTTGATTAGTACTACCAAAAAAAAAGGCTTAAAATTCCAGTTCTAGTCAGTTGATATGTTTCTTCCTCCACTTCAGTCCGACCTTTGCTTTTCCAGGCGTGCATTGAAGCTATTTTGCTTGTTTAGCTTGGCCTGATTTAGAGTGTAAATAGAACTATAAGAATAATCATCATATTTGTATCTTTGTAGACAATGACAATCCTATCATATTTTTTCTACATACCAGAAACCTCTAATGATTTGAAATTTTGCAAAATGTTTGTAAATTGGTATATCTAATGCATTATCCTTAAGAACTAAACATTAAAGCTTCGGTTCCAGAGTGTTACTTTGAAAGATCTCAATATGCTAAACACATCTCCTTATTCCCTTTTTGCATGTGCAAAGAGAAATCTTCACATTTTTTCTAGCTTCTACCTGCTAGCAATTTTCTAAGAGTAGTAAATGGAGCTTGCGCTAGGTTTCAAGTTTAGATGGATGGATGGATAGAAGCTCATCAAACAACTGCTAACTTCAAAGCGGACATAAAGATTACTTATCAAACTTGACACCTCCAAATAAATTGGTGAGATTATTAATAGATTTCTTACCACTTTTTAAGTTTGCTTAAAGTGATTGAACTTTTGGTAAAAAGGATTTTCAAATTATTTTGACTCAATGTTATCACCATTCCATGAATCAAAATGTTTTTTTAATAAAATTTCATAAAAAAAAAAGGAGAAAAACACAACCATTCACAGCAATAATTGATTGTGTCTGTTGCAATGAAGGATGAGACAAACTATTCTGCAGCTAATTGAAACTTATTTAAAATATCACTCATCTGTAAAACAAACTATGTTGATGTTCCTAAATCATCAAAATTATTGGGAGAATGGCCCTCACAATTTTTTTCGAATATTAAAATGACAGACAAAAGATGTAATATTGTGCTAGTCTAGTTTGAAATATCTCAATTGTATCAAAATTCACTCTAACAATCATTCATTTTGCAAAACAAATCGCACAAGAACTTCCACATTTCACAAATACCCATGGACATTCACGTCACTAAATCGTCTAACAATGAAAATGTTGAAAATTTTGCATTGTAGATGAAGATTTTCTTCAACGAGTGCAAAGTTGATATGCATAATAACTGAGAATTTTGCAAGAATAGATGGAATATTAAACCATGCATGTGTGACGATTAGGAGTGTAAAAAATTGACCGACACTCCACTCAACTAGAACTCAAGTTTCGGGTTAGGAATCCTAACCCATTTTAATATTTTGCGTCGGGTTAGGAATCCAAACCATTTAATTTTTTGAGTCGAGTTTGGGTTGATCTACTAACTCAAATTGACCCAAATTGACACAGCTGACACGCCTACCTAAAATTAATTAAAGATTGACTCAAAATTGACCCGAATTTGACTTGAATAAATGTTGTCATATGTTAACCAAGTTATATATGTTGGGTTGAGGTTAGTGGCTTAAAGGCAGATTGAGTTTGGGTTGGACTTTCTAATCTGTTTAATATTTGGGCCAGGTTCGTGTCAATTTCAGGCTAGATTATTGCCCAACCTACGAATTCGACACCCCTAGCGATGTCGAACACATATTTGATAAATGTGAATGATGAATGAATTTATGTGTGTGTGCAATAAAATTTTGCAGTAGATATATATATATATACTAGTATAATTGAACTTGCATTAAGTGGACATGAATAAAATTATAAAATCGAAATGTAATAAACAAACATTTTAATAAGGAAGAAACATAATACTTATTATCGAAGTTTAAAATCAAGTGAAATTTTAATAATAATGCAAAAATTAGTTAAAAATTTAATTATTAGGGTGTATTTTTAATGAAATATGAGAATATTATACCACAATTTTATTAGATACATTCATGATTTTATGTTGGAAAGAAATAATTCATTAGATATGATTGTGAAATAATAACCAAATCACATTTTATATGCATAAAAATATTTATTAATAATTTTGGTTATTCTTTTAAAATATGATCATAACAACTTTAATATATTTTAAATGCCAAATCATTGAACATTAATAATATACTTTTTTTTATCAAATTTTACATGTAAAATATCAAATGCTCATCAAAATGTATGAGAGATTAAAATTTTTTGTTGATAATTTTGAAGATGGATAAACAATTATATATATAGTTGATTATAAATTTTATGGCTTATGATGTTTGTAAACATAATTATTCATAATTTAATGACATTTGTATAAAAATAAATGATTTATTAGAAAAATAATTAATATTATAGATTGTAAAAATATAGAAATGTCAATTATAATGAATAATTTTGGAATGATCACATTGTCTCATAATTATCAACTTTCATTTAACGTTTAATTAAAATCTTCTCCTTTTTTATTTTTTTTAAGTTCTATGCATAATTCTATTGAAGTCCTTGATTGATTGGGCTGTTAGTGTACTTAAAGATTGATTCTTATAAATTTTTTTATTGATTCTGTGAATTTTAATAAAATTAATGAAATTAATGAGTAATTTTTTTTGTATTGCAAGATAATATTAGTGAAAGAAACTACTATATATATATTTTAAAACCCGATGACAATTATATTAAAGAGAAAGGGGTATAAATAAGTTATATGAGTGGACTTAATAGACACCCAACTCATACGGTACAACACACACAAAAAGAAAAAGAAGAAAATTAAAAAACCAAAAGTAGATGGTATATGAGTGGACCTAATAGGTCGATTCACTTTAGTTTTGCCTCTGATTCACTTTAGATGGAAATGAACCAGCTAACAAATTGATATATTATATAATAATAATAATAAAAAGCACCGCGTTCCTAGATCAGTTAGTAGAGCATAGGCTTTGTCCGGTATAAGTCTCCTTTGGTCTAGGGTTCGAATCCCCTCTTGCCTATGGGGTTGGTACTCGAGTGGTTAGGCGCATTAGGGCTCGTCGGGGCTCGTCTGATAGCCTCCGGTCATTCCTTAGACATATATATATATATATATATATGGCGTCGTCTTCCTCGCTCGAGTCTGTCTGCTAGGGTTCCTCGCTCGAGTCTGCTAGGGTTTTGCCCGATGGCGAATCCTAGCAACAATTACGGCTTCTGCTTCGCTGTTTCCTCTCAGATTCTTCGCGCTCGTTTCTGTTTCGTCCCCCCCGCTTCTTCCAGCTCTAAGACGAGGCTCGCCTGCTCGCGTGTTCTGCGCTCGATCACGTGTTGCCCACTCGCGTGTTCTGCGCTCACCCGCTCGCGTGCTCTGCGGCCCGTCTTGCTGTTTGCTGTTTTCTCTCTGCTAGGCTCGTCTCCCGCTCGTTTCTGCGTTCTCTGCGCTCGTCCTGTCTCACCCCGCCGTCCCTTTCTTAGCTTCGGCTATTTCGACGCGACTTTTTCCCAATCTGCTTTCTTCTCTAACATCGCAACTATCTTTGAAGATGACTTCGGACAAATCTTATGCAGTTGCCCTTGTCGGTGTCCATGTCTTAGACACACCAAAATCATCATCTTTCCCTCCTTTGTTTGAGTGGGCGGAGGACATCAAGAAACCTGGTAGGAAGAATGGGAAGCCTGTCATCTTTTTTACAGAAGCTGAAGGTTTTCAATTTGCTTCCTCCTGTTTTCTAAATTTGGTTGTGAAATTTCTATATGGTCATCCGAAAATGGAGCTCATTCGCAAAGAATTTGAACTTATACACCTTGTTGGAGAATGAAAAATCGGGTTATTAGATGAGAGACACATTCTTATTCAAATTAGTAATGAATAAGATTACATGCGCTTATTTGCTAGAAGGATAATATGGATTGATAACAGAGCAATGAAGATTCTGAAATGGTCTGTGGTTTTTTACCCACAGACAGAACCGCCAATCATTCCAGTTTGGATTCGTCTCCCTGGGTCTGAAATTTCATATTTTTCTCAAAAAGTATTTTACTCTATTGTCTCAGCTTATGGGAAGCCACTCAAGACCGACATTCCTACTTTTAATCTGCCCCGTCCTTCTGAAGCCAGAGTACTTGTTGAAAGAGACATCACTTCTTCTGAGGAAATTTGGTTGGGCACATAACATCATGGATATTGATAGAAGATAAAGATTGAACATTTTCAATCGTATTGTTCGAACTGTCGTATGTTCGGACACTCCAGTTCTCAATGTCATCATCTACTCCCCCACCTCAGACCAAAAAAGCAAACTGTTCCGCTAGAGGCTGTGATTCCATCTCCTTCTGATCAGGCAGACAATATGACAACTATTCAATCCCCAGTTGTAGCTCCCTCGTCTTTGGAACCTTCTATCAAGGGGGAGAGGGAATTTCTTCAGACCTCGCGTGCCCTAGAACCTAGCACTGATAATACAGGTGGAAATACTTCTACTGCTTCACAACCGCCTCATTAGGTCCAGAAAGATGTTAATATTACTCATGTTCATGGGGATCAAGACGTGCAACGACCTACATCTATCCGAACACAGCTGATCAGATGAGTCAATCATCGGATGAAGAATGACATGTTTACACATCTAGGAGGAGGAAGAAGAATGAAGATCTACTTGAGCTCAGAAATATGATGGATGATACTTTGGTTATTTCGGGCAATGGGACACACCTTACCAATTTGTTAGCCAACACACTTCCGAGAACTAGAGGAAGGAGGACTAAAATGGGTCGTCCCTAGCATTTTTGTGTCCTTTTGTAGTTTTCTGGTTTTTTACCTTTTGTATCTTTGCTTTATCTGAGTTTTTGTGTGTATTGTATTGTATGAGTTGGACTTTCTTTTAGGTCCTCTCATACAACTTTTTTGTATTTTTTTTGTATTAATATATTTGCCCTCGGGCTTTTTCTATATATATATATATATATATATGCAAAGAAAATCATCAATTACCAAAAAATTGAAATTTTTAATTCAAATGATATATTCTGAATATATATATTGTGTGTGTGTGTGTATGATTGTTACTTACATTTTATAAACTTTTATAACTTGTATATCAAATACTGTAAATATAGCAATTGAAATTGTATCTTTAATATCCAATTTAATAGGCTAATTATTAATGTTGAAGATGCAATTTTTTAAAAAATGTATTTTATCATATTAATTGTTGAATATACGACTTCAATTGAAATTTTAAAAAAAATCTAATTATAATCGAAGATTTTTTTTATTTGCACTTTTATAAATTTATTTGATCATTCTAATGGGTCATTGATCAAGATTAAAATTTATGTCTTTGGTATCGATTTTGTTATGATCTGATTTGGGTGTTTGGAATTATTAAGGAGGGAACAGATCATTCGACATTGGATTTATACCAGTTTAACATTTTTAACAATACAAAATATCATGCAACCGGTTAAGAGGTAGTGAACATCAATATTTTTTTAAATATCTTCTAGGCATGTACAAAAATGTTTAATTTACAATAATTTTTAATAAAAATCCTAAAACAAAATACAATATTGTCATACATATTTTCATTAGCTCATCTTCTTCTATAAACAAACTCTTTTCTACCAATCATTTAATTTGAAGTTGAGGTACTCGAGACTTGGTTTGCACAACATCACGTCACTCTTACCACAGCTCATCACCCACACATGTTTTTATCTCACTTTCTTTGTTTTACATGGGACAAGTATTGTTTGTCTCTTTGCTTGGGATGAATCCCGATCTTCTCCTCCTTCGTCCCATGTTAGTGGAGCTGGCTTGTTGGTTCCATTGAACCGGCGCAGCCAATTCAATTTTTTTTTTTTTTTTGGAAAAATTTACGTGCATGCACCTCAATTCTTATGTTTTTCTTATCTTACACCAAAAATTCAATTTTTACATGCATGCCACCTTACCTGTGCATAAAAAAATTGTATATGACTTTTTGATAGTTAAATTTGTGGTATTTTTTACTTGATATGAAAGATTTGGGTGGCATGATTTCATAAAGTTAAGTTTAGAAGTTAGATTTGTAAATAGATAGGCATTGAGTGGTATGTGTGTAAATGTCCCCTTTCTTTTTCAATGCTAGATTTTACAATTGATTTCTGTGTAATGGCAATTTTGTTGTGATTCCGATGAAGCTTTGACTAATTTTAAGATATTTTGTTTCCGGATGCATGTCTTTGGTTCACTGGATTCGCGTTCTTCCCAGGCTATGCATTTCTGCCTGCATCTTTCTTCAGAAAGTACTTCACAAGTTTCAACCGGTCAATATAATGAAATTACTCATTTGTGGAAGCATGAAATGGACAAACGTTTATCTCACAGAAGTTTCTCCAAGAATCCCGCGTTCATTCACGGTTTGGCCTGTCAGTATTCATGCAGGGACCCAACCCCAGGACTTGGTAATTCGCCATCAGTCTTTAAGAAAATTGTGTCGTCTGAACCAAACACAGATCAACTAATCAAAACTAACCAGAATATTGAGCATGAATTTCATGGAAAACTTGATGGCGGAGACCTCAAGAGTACTGTTACAGATGATGTTGTCGAGCTCTCCATTGCTGCCTCTGAAGCAGTGGTTATTTCCGAAATGTTGTTTAGTAGCATGCAATGTGAACCTCTTTCTGATGCAGCAATTATTGAAATTGCTCTTCGTTTGAAACATGCCCGAAATGAATGTCTGTTGGAAACAGCTCATACATTTTCAGTTGCCGATCCCGATGATACTGATCGCCTATCTGATTTGGATGAAAATTCTATGTCTGATGCATTTGAAGATGTAGGCTTAACGGTTGAGCAAGTTGCTGAAACGTCAATATGCCCATTTACTCATAGAAAATCCTCCAACAGCACTCAAGTTTCAGGTACCAAACAGCAGGAGATATTGAAGCCCGATTTATCGTATGCCTGCAATGTATTAGCTAAAGATCTTGTACATGAGCGGAAAGCACTTCCAGAAAATATTGGACATGAGTGGAAAGCACTTCCAGAAAATATTAAGGGTGTCTGTACTGGTAAAACAATTTCCCAAATACAAACAAAATCCTGGGATAATTTTCCTCTGAATTACTCTAGACCATCGTTAAAAGATCATACACCAGAGCAGGAGCAAAAGTTTCACAATAAAGATGCTTTGCCAGTAAACCAGATGGGCTTTATGAAGCATCACTGTATACAAAAGGTCAGGCAAATTTTGAGCAAGTGCAGTTTACTTTTGAGAAAAGTGTCAAAATAATTCCTTGACTTTTTAAGGGGTTCATTTTAGTTCCACAGTATATAATTGTCAATTTAATCTCTAAATTCTCTTAATAGGGGCTAAAATTGTTCCCACAGAGGACTATTTCATCTGCTATCAAAAGATTCTGAAAAATAATTTGGCACTTTTATAAAATCTGGAATGTCAGGGGACTATTTCACACTTTACTCGTTCACTTGTTCTTGTCAATTCAGTTCATAACAACTGCAGATATTTCTTTGTTTAGCTTGTTATATTCAATCATTCTTAACCTTTTTCTAACTAAAGACTATTTTTTGAAGGTGGGAAAGGTTCCGCAACCGAGCAATGCAAAGGTCAAAAAGCACTTAAAGTTCTTTAACTGGGAGACCAGCTTTCTTTCGGAATCCATAGATTCTTTGGAGCAAGATGTATCACAGTTAAAACAGTCAGTAGAACTTGCAGTAGTTTCTTCTTCAGACACCATATTGCGACTTTCATCTTCCAACTTTTGCTCCGAACAGGAACCTAAACATGGAGCACCACTTTCACAAGATTATTCTAGGACCGCATCACTTTTTGATCCTCTATGTTCTGTCGTTCCTTGTAGTATTTCTAGTGGAGTGTATGTTGGCTATGAAACCAAATGTGCAACAGATGGTGCTCAAAAGTCGAAGAATCCAATTACTACAATATACTCAAAATGTTTAGATGGAAATTCTCTCTTGCATAATAATGTTATGTTACAGAAACCATTCCTTGAGAGAATAGACCTCATTCTCTCTAATTCGAGTGAAAGGATTGTTGAATGTTCTAATAAAAACGATACTGAGCTGCCAGGAAAATGGTTGGATGAAGGTAGATCAAACAACGAACAAATTCTTGAACAGAATAAAATTAGAGTGTCAACTTTTGCGATTCAGAACACTGATAATAATGACACTCAATTAACTGTGCATGGAGATGCATGCTCATCTCCTATACTGGAAGGTTGCGATGTAACTATGGGTGGTGATATGCATGAGAGCATTAAAAGCTTGTCTGCATCAGCTTTAGGGAAATGCAGATCAGATGATTTAACTAAAAAAGCTAGCTACAGGAGTGAAACAATTAACAGATCTCATATACATGTACAATCAAATTTACAATCAACTCCTGGAGATGAAAGAACTAGGAAGAAGAGAGTTCGATTTCAGGAAGCCCCCTACGATATGGATGGGCCTAAGGTGTCTAAACTCCAGCCTAAATGTATAGCAATGCAACTTTTCATTTGAGTTTATTTGGATCTAATTTATTACTTGCTAGCTCCAATATTCTTAACGCTTCCACAGGTTCTTGTTCTGGAACTGCCACTAGATGCAAATCTGAATACAGATGGTATCATAAGTACGAACAATTGATCAGTAATAGGACAGTGAGGAACAAAGAAATAATATTTCAGGGTGTGGAATTTCTTTTGACTGGGTTCTCAAGTTGCAAATCAAAGGATCTTGAAGAATTAATTAGAAGACATGGTGGATATGTTCTTCCAAATATACCATCAAAATTTCCATGTTTAAGTGTGAAGCCTATTAGCTTAGCAAGCAGGAAACTTCCTGTTATCCTATGTCCAAAGAAGGTATATTTATGCAAGTGTTTCTCCTCAACAAAATAAATAAATAACAAAAAAACTATATATAATTTTGTCAAGCTATTTGCTTGGTAAAAAAAATATATATTCTGATATTTTATGTTCTTGCATTGTTAGCAGAAATCTATATAGTAAGTCTGATGGGTTGAATACTATTAAATAAAATTTTGGCTTGCATATTTTCTCCCTTTTTGATAGCTGTTACTCTTACATGGTTGGAAGATTTTGTGTCCAATTCTTCTATTAAGACATTTTGTTTTACAGCTTACAAGGTTATTCTTTGAACAGAGAAAGTTAAATAGGTTAAAAAGTAGTTAATCTGCATTAATTTTACAAAAAAATTTGGCTGTGGTTTATGTGTGACTTTCAATAATTTGTTGTGCTTGGGTTATTGTTCTATTCAGTGAAGCAGTGACTGTAATCATGTTCTATTTTTTGTTGTTGTTTTGTTCAGTTCCTTTGGTTTTCTGTGTGAAGGGAAGTTTGTTATCACCTTTTGAGATATTATAGCTATTAAATTATAGAATCATTAACATATTCATTATCATTAACTTTATCTAAAGTTTTTGGGCCTGGGTTTAGGAATTTCACATTCATTCTTATGAGTGCCTGCATGAGGTGCTAAAAACATTACCAAAGGTGTTACTTTTCCCTTTATTTGATTGAAAAATTGAAGTTTCCAATTTTTTATGATTTTTAGCATCTCAAATTGTCCAGTTTTTTATACGCTCATACGATCTTTAATCTTATTGATTGTGGTCTACTATATGAGTTACACATGGATCCAGTTTTATTGCTTTTGTGATGATTTAAACATTTACCGAATATGCGATCCGATGGTATGCAGAATTTTAAAGCTGTAGTTTTACTGATTTATTTCACTAGCTAAAACAGTCATATTTCAACAAGATGCATTAAAATTTCATGTATTTGATTCTATCTTCTATTTCATTTGAATGCTACAATTTGAAAACAAAATTAACTTTTCATGCAATTCATTTATTGTGAAGCTCTTTACGCATCCGATTTGTATGTGTTTTATGTGCACATGTGTGATGAGTGCATGCGTGAAACCAGAGTTAACTCAAACCACAATAGAAATATGAATATTATTGCTAAAAATCCAACGAGTTACGAACGACAACTTGTGACTATAAAAAAGTAACATAAAAAATACAATAGGCACGGGACTAGGACGACGGTGGTGGGTTGTGGGTCACTGGAGTGGAGTTGAGTAGCTGAGGGGGAGGCTATGTGAAGGCTGCAGCACGGAGGGCTGCAGGACAAAAGACTGACTGGAAGAGGGTTGCCTATCGTTGGATGCTGTGGCAGGGAGAAAGGGAGGGATGAGTGCTGGACTGGTGTGGAGACTGCAGCAGGTAGGGTGACGGGAAGAAGGATATGGTTATAGCAGGAAGATAGCAGGTTGAGGGGGAGGGGATTATGGGGGAGTTACGGTAGAAGATTGGGAGGGAGGGAGTAGATAGAGTGCGGGTAGCAGGGTGAGATGTTAGCGAGATGGTGTGGCTGTAGGTTGGGAGGAAAGAGGGTTCACGACAGTAGATGGTGAGGGAGGAGGGGTGCGGCCAGCACGGGATTTCTGGTGGTGGGATGGGTAGGAGTTTAGCGGTTGGGAAACTGGGACTGTGGACTGCGGAGGGAATCTTGGGGAAGATAAATATCTCTGCGGAATCGAGTGACAGCAGGAGCACCCTTCAAATCTTTGGAGAAGATCACCACCTCGGGCAAGTTATAGTTGGAGCCCCTCTTCGCCTTCGAATACAACCCTAAAAGGGAAAACAGTCCCTACTGCTGCTTGGACAGAAGTTTAAAATCTAGAAGAAAAAAACTGAACCCTAATAGTAAACAACATATTTATAATATTTACTAGCAGTTAGAATAGGAAGGGATTAGAATGTAAAGGTAATAGATTTAGGAATGAAATAGAAAAAGGTGAGAAATCAAATAGGAAAAAATGATGGAGGACTGTAGCAGCTACAATACCATGCCCTAATAAGCTCCTGCATCAATTTGGGTTGAGTTTTCACTATTGAACAAACAAATTTAGCAATTGAATCATTATTTTGAGTACGCTAAAGTGATATGAGTTGGTTTAACTCTTTTAACAGAATTGATTTGCTTTTAATTATGTGCAGGTTGAAACTACTAAATTCCTATATGGCTGTGCAGTTAATGCCTTCATCATAAATGTTCGCTGGCTTGTGGATTCAATACAAGCTGGCACTGCATTACCACCGGGGAAGTAAGTTCTGTTTTTCTTTCTCAGAAATCTTCTGAATTTTTTCTATTTTGGAAAGCACTTTTTTTTGTTGTTATAACCCTTATTTATCTCTCACAATCAAAGCAATTTGTACCATTTGAAAAATATAGAGTGAAGTATGATTCATTGATATACTACGATGTGATCAACAATGAAACAAACAGTTTGATTCTCATATTTCAGCGAAGGTAACCGAATATCAATTTCTACAAATATTTAATTTGTGAAAGAGAAGGATATTATGCATTCCAAATACAAATGTTAAAGAAGGCCTGATTTTTCTTCTTGAAAAAAAAAAAAAAACGGCTTATCATTTTGTTTTGATTTGATTGGCCGTGCAGAATATGTCCTTCAAATTTGGTATGAAGGTTTCTTAAATTTCCTATTATAGAAAAATAAGCAGCGAGGATGATTTGTGAAATACTAAATTAATTGCTATTTTAAAACTATTAATTAGTGCACTAAATTATTGTTATTTTTGTCATTCAGCAATTCTCAAATTGAGATAGCTAGGGAATTATAATAACTTGCCATATTGGAAGAGGAGTTCAAATTTTTGTCAAAAGGATTTTATATTTCTTTTGTTTATCTTTGAATCTTAGTTCGAGTAGCACTTTAGCATTAGTATTAAGTCGCTTGTTCTTCTCAGTGTCTTGTAAAAAAGGGATACATGATTAGAGCAATATATGGGAATAATTAGTATTAACTGTATAGAAAAATTTGAAATTGCGGCAAGGGTTCGATTAACCATCGATTTATGTTTCTTCTATTATGAGAAAAGGGGCAAGTTTTAATTCAGTAAGCAAATGTCGTAGGAGAACGAGAGACAAAAGGAAGTGAGATTGAGAAGAAGGAAGAAAAGGAAAAATGTTGTGTGCATGTCATGGTAAAGAAGTTTGACACACTAGAGATGATGCCACCGGTGTGAGCAAGTGGTGTGAGCAAGTGGGGATGATGACTCTCTCGAGTGCGACGCTATCCAACACAGGAAGAATTGTGCTGGGAGGCGAACCTAAAGTCAAGCGGACCTTCTACTTCAAATGCGGGCAGTGATTTCGTGAGTGGGAAGGAGCCTCACATGTGATAGGGAGAAGAGTAGGAAGACTCGTGTGTGAAGGCAAATCGAGTGGGTGAGCAAGGTAAATCATGCTGGTAAGGTAGCCAAAATGATTTGAATCAAAGAAAGGAAGGTGGTTTTGTTTGTGGGTCTTGTAGCTGATCGGGTTAGGTTTTTTTAGTAGATTTCCTTAATATATTAAATGAAATTTATAATTAAGTCTTAATATATGTTCCTATGCTAATTAAAAAATAAAATCAGAGACAGTTAAAAGTTTGATTTGGAGGAGAAAGAAGAAAATTTGCTACATCAATAAAGTGAAATTATAATTGAGTTTGATTTTTTATTTTATTTTAGAATTATGGATGATTAAGAGCATAAAATTATGCAGAATAATATAAGAGTTGATATGCCTTAGAATATTGCAGTTAGAGCTATTTTCTTTTTGATATGATGAATATTGTGTCTTAATTGATTAAGAATTCTCAATCTCAGGCTAATAATAATGGGGGAGCACAAATATATAAGTACTTGAAACTCTTTCAGGATATGAGGCAACTGCTATTTTCAAGAGCTTGAGGGCTACTGGAAGCTGAAAATTGACTTATGAGAGGAGAAATTATATATGGTATTACATGTCCACTAGAGAGGAGAGTTACTCTTGTTACATTTGCTTTTGAGGGAGAAATTGAGAGACGATGGTAATAGCGGTTACAAGAGAAATTTGGTGGTCGACCTAGTCACTTGGTGCAGTTGGAGTTGTGAACACATATAGAGATTGATTTGTACCACTGTCAATCCAGATATAGATGCATGATAAATTTAGTTAGTGTAAGTAAATTGATCGATCTTGCAGTATGAAGCGGAGTTTACTATGTTGTCGAGGTCTACACCATAACTTATTCCAAATGCAAATGAGAAATGCCACGGGTTCTTTTTTGGATTGAATGATTCAATTCGACAACCAATAGTGTCAGATGAGATTGAAGACTATTCAATGCTAGTAGAGAGGGCTAGACTAATAAAAATTGATTTTTAGCAGACCCAAGAGTAAGGATTTGCAAAAGAGGAAAAGCTTGGAAGAAGTGACACCAATAGTTACTCTAGAGGAGATAATGGGAAGAAAATAAAGTTATATGTTGATGAAGTTAATAGTCAGGCTTGCAACAACTCTATAGAGCTTCATTAAGTGTGGGAAGCTAAACGATGGTGAATATTTATTTGGTCTTAAGGGATGTTATTTATGCTGACAACCTAGACATTAGATGAGAAACTATCACGACTCAACCTAGGAAATTGGAATTTTCTAGATGGGAAATGGCGATTGAATGGTTGTCTAATTGTTTCATTTTACAACAAAATGAAATCCAAGCCACAAAAGAGCCATTTTATTTCATTAAAACTTATATTGACAATATTATATTTATATTTATAATTTTACATCTAACAAAAAATAAAACAAAATTATAATACCTATCAATCAAGCGCTCCTCAGCGCCTATACACGTATTCTATGATTTATCTATCATATAGCCAATTTTTCTATAAAATGTTAGCAGCTGAAGGTGCAAGTTAGATAACTCGACGGACAAATTTTTTAAATTACAATAATTCTCATTTTTAAAATATTTGGTAAAAGTACCGTAAACAGTAAAAAAACTGAACAATAAAAAGAAAACTATTTTTTGTTTATTTTCATTCATTTATGTTACACTTTGTTATTGAGAGTTAACGTCTAAACGTATACTTTTAAGTAATATATGTTTACTTTTCAAAACTCACAAAAAGGGTAGATATTCATTTTAATTTCTATTTTTATTTTTAGTTTCATTTCATTTCGTGCATAGGTACAACGCTTCCTTTGTCAATACCATATGTGTGTGACTCCATATGCATTCTATATATCATATGTTATTTATTTTCTTGCATTTAACATTTTAAAAAAATGAACTTTAACATTTTAAAACGAATGTTAGAAACAACAAAAACATGTGTAGTTGCTTTAAAAAATAGACAGAATTAGTATAAAATAAAAATATATTTACCCACCCATCTCTACTTATACAGTTTGAAGCCAGCTGTCTATTTCTCAGGTGAAACTAGTTCTTAAATGCTTCTATAATAACAAGTTAGCCTATATTAACCTCTATTAGTTTTATTTTTCTTTCGCATGAATTATAACCTAATTATTTAGACATTTTCATTTGCATTTTATATCAAGTGACTTTCCTGCAATGCATGTAATATGTTTGTAATCAGAGAAACTTAATTAGATCTTAAAATTTTAATTTATCATAAAATTTTAATTTATCATTAGATTTTAAACTATTCATTATATATATATATATATATATATACAAGGAAATGCACTCCTTTCTGTTTTGATTTCACCTTTTTCTGGATTACCCTAAACTGATATTTAACTAAAATCTTAATTATTAATTGAATTACATAAATGATTTCTGAAATTTCAATTTATATTATTTAAAATTATTTACTAAAAAATTCTTACCTTAAAAGCTGCAACGCCCTTTTTCCTTACTACCTTGTTCAAATTTCGAGCACGAAGTAGAAAAAACTCATTTGAACTCTCACGGCCGTCTCTTGCTCCCAACCTCAAAAATGCTAGGGATTTGGCAATTCTGCATGAAGGAAAAGCTCCAGTGATGTGTTCCTTCTCTCCGAGCTCTCTGTCGAGCTTCTCACATGTGAAAACTTGCGTAAATGGGGGAAAGTCACTCGACTTTTCCTCTCCTTCCTCCATTTGCTGCTCGCAGTAGTCAATAGAGTTGCTTGAGCCTAAAGGTGCTCGATTAAGCATCTCTCGATCCCAAAAAAGCCCCACACAACTACGGAAGAGACGTGCGATCACTCCTCTTTTATTTTGCTTCAACTCCTCGTTTCTCCTTCCTTTCTACTTATGGTTCTTCTGCTTGGGGACAACTTCTTCCTCTTCTTTTTCTCTCTGCCTCTCACGCTCTCTCTTGCTCGCTTTCACTTGATCTTACCTGGAATGGATAAAACAAGACTCCAATCCCTCTAGAATAACCTTCGAAGGCGGCAATGCCAACGATCATAGGTGTCAGAAGCATAAACTTTCATTTTCAATTTTTTTATTTTTCTTTTAATAACTAAGTTAATAAAAATTTTATAGGTTATTATTACAATCTCCCTTCATAAAAAATTCATCATTGAAATTTAAAGTACAAGAATATATTTTATACCTTAATTGAAAAAATGTGGAGTCTTTCTCTCATCTTAGATTCCTTCTCCTAAGCGACATCTTTGTCTAATGCTTCCAAATACATGAGCAAAAGGATTCTCCAACTTCTTTTATTTTAACATCATAATCTATAATTTTTACTGGCTCATCCATAAATCTCAGGCCAAGGTGAATATCTATGGGGTTTATAACAATCTTGCTAGCCTCATCGATAATATATTTTCATAGTAATGAGATAAGAAACACATTATGTACCCCATAAATGTGTTGCTATGACAAGCTTATAAGCGACTTTCTATACCTTTTGCACGATCTTATATGGGCCAACATACCATGGGCTTAGCTCTCTGAACTTTTTCAAAACGTTTAACTACTTTCATAAGGCTAAACTTCATAAAAACAAATTCTTTTATCTCAAATTCAACTGATATGTGTTTGGCATCATAATAACTTCTCTGCCTATCCTAAATTGCTCTCAGTTTATCACAAATCAGTCTAATCTTCTCAATAGTTTCATCAGCCTGATCTTCTCAATAGTTTCATCAACTAACTCAACATTAATTATTTTATTTTCATCAGTATTTGTCCAACAAAGAGGTTCATGCATTTCTTTCGATAAAAGGCTTCATAAGGAGTCATACCAATACTAATCTGGGAGCTAATATCGTAGGCAAATTCTATCAGAGCGATGTATATTTCCTAGTTTCCACCAAAATCAAGCATACAAAGTCTAAGTAGGTCTTTTTAAGATTTGGTTCATTTCTTCTTATTGACTGTCTGTCTTAGGATGAAAAATTGTACTGAACGTCAGTTGAGTATCTAAAGCCTCTTAAACTTTCCTTCACAATATGGAAATAAATCTATTGTCTCTATTTAAAGTAATAGACTTTGGGAGTCCATATATTCGTACAATTATATCAACATAAGTTCTACTCGGCTTATCCACATAATTCATTTGTATGATATGCATGAAATGTGCGTAATTGGTCAGACGATCAATAATCACCCATGTAGCATCACGACCTTGCCTTGATCTTGGTAGCCCAATTACGAAATTCATAGCATGCCCTCCCATTTCCCTTATCCTACTTCTATGGATGTTCCCCCTATTGTTCTTGTCATTGAGGAGTCTCTTGTTCTAGTGAGGGCACCATTCGGTGAGTGCACGATTCGGTGAGCCCCATGATTCGGTGAGTGCACCATCTCTTCCTCCCACTATCTGTGTTTACACTCGGCGTGCTCGTTCCAATACTCCTACTATGGAACCCGCTACCTCCTTACATGACTCTGACTCCACTCCGGGCGACATTCTCAGCACGACCCCTCCTCCGAATGAGGAGGTAAGTTCTTTGAGTAAGATATGCAATCAGGCATTCTCTCTTTATTCGATGGTAAACTATGTCTCTTTTCGTTGTTTAAGTCTGACCTACAGAGCATTTGCTACTACCCTGATGGACCGTCAGATCCCAACTATTATTGAGAATGCTCTTATTGATCTAGCCTGAAAAACAATAGTAATGGAGGAGATGAATACCCTTCAACAAAACCATACATGTGACGTTGTTGATCTTACTCAGGGTAAGAAAGTTGTGGGATGCCGATGAATTTTCAGCACCAAGTTCAACTCTGATGTGTTCAATGCAACAAGGCAAGATTGGTCGCCAAAGGGTACTCACAGACTTAGAGTTGATTATGAGGATACATTTTCTCCAGTGGCTAAGTTAAACATCATTTGGGTCTTGTTGTCTCTTGTGGTGAATTTGGATTGACATTTATTTCAACCAGATGTCAAGAATGTGCTCTTGAATGGAGAGCTTACAGAAGTGGTATACATTTCTCTCTCTCTCCTGACTTTAACTCTACTGCCTCCAAAGGGCAAGAGTGCAGGCTGCGAATGCTTTTCTATGAGCTAAGGCAGTTTCCGAGGCCTGGTTCGATAAATTCACAAAAGTGGTTGTGGGTTATGTTTTTACTCAGGCTTAATCAGACACACTCTCTTTGTCTGGTATTCCTCCGTTGGTCAAATAGCTATCATTATTGTCTATGTTGGCGATATTGTTGTTACAAGTAATGATCTCCTAGCATTGGAGTCCTTGAAAGACATTATTATTAAATCATTTGAAATGAAGGACTCGGGGTCATTTTGATACTTACTAGGCATGGAAGTAGCTCGATCATCTCAGGACATTTTTCTTTCTCAACGCAAATATGTGGTCGATCTTTTGACAGAGAATAATCTTCTTTTATGCAAACCCATGACTATTTCTATTCATCTCAATGAAGAATTAACTGACATTCTCAATGTCGTGTCTGTCAACAAGACTCACTACTAGCATCTTGTGGGGAAACTCATCTACCTCGCTCATACTCGTCCCAACATATGTCACACAGTTGGTATAATGAGTTAATTCAAGCACGATCCCTATGAGCACCATCTCCAAGTTGTTCACCGGATTTTCCACTATTTAAAAGGTACACTGGGCTCAGGTTTACTCTCTCATCACACCTCTCAGTCTATTGCTATTTATACAAATGTTGATTGTGTCGGGTCGGTTCATGATCGAAATTCTACATCGGGGTGTTGCTCATTTGTATGGAGAAATTTTGTCACGTGGAAAGACCAAATACAAATTGTGGTTGCCCGGAGCGGTGTTGAAACTGAATTTTAGTCTGTCCCTGGGAATTTTTTAATCTCTCTGGTTATGCATCATACTCTGTGAACTTCGCATGTCAATCTCCATCCCACTACAACTATTCTGTGATAATAAGTCTGCCATAAGATTACTCACAATTCAATCCAACTTGATTGTACCAAATATGTGGAGATTGATGAACACTTCATTAAGGAAAAGATTAAGTCCAGAGAAATTTGTGTTATGTTTGTGCCCTTTAGTGGTCAACTAGCAGATATCCTCATCAAAAATCTTCATCGTCCTTTGTTTGATGACTTCAAAACCAAGTTGAACATGATTGACATCTATGCTTCAACTTGAGGGAGAGTATTAGATTTATAACGATAATGTGTAGCTATTATTACATATTATTAGTTTTTATTTTTTCATCATGTATTTCCTATTTGTTTTATTCTATTTTATTTATTTTCTTTGTTGTGTCTATTGTAATTTGGTTTAAATACTCTTCTTCTATCAATAAAATTATGCTGCTCCATTCCAAATCTCAATAGTTATCCTTATTTTTCCCCAATCAATCCCCGTGCTCACATTTCTTGATTTCAAGCCTAGCCAAGGCCTACTCATGCTCGATGCTCACTTGCTAATTCAAACTCATATCCTGTAATTGAACCTATATACAAATATGTATTAACTCATTACTCGCACTAAATCCATGAATCGCCTGATCCATCATCACCCTGCATGCACCACTTAGACCCAGTGTCCAACACTTTGAAGTGATATATTCATATATATACAAATTTGATGTTCAACTGATGTTTGTGCCCCACATTTCAAAAATTATTGTTTCCTGCATTCTAATCATGTTCATTTTTCTTTGTGTCCGTACCATATTGTGATTTTTGCTTTATTTCTTTTCAATGATATGGGAAATTGACTGATTTTCCGTCACCAGGTATATGTCTTGGCCTATTCCTGGCTCAAAGGGAAATAGGATGATCATTGGGGAGCCATTTTGGCGCAATAATGGCATGCCCATATTTCATAAAGTAGGGATAATGCTACATGGAAAAGTCAAATTTTGTACCAAATTCATGAAAATTGTAAAGGTAATTCATTATTAAAGCATGATCGTTTGATCTTTCATTCAGTGGTGCCTTGCTGCTGCTTCTATCGAGTTAACTCTGTATTTTTTCAAATTCTTTGGTTACCATCTCAGTGGACATCAGCCATGCTAACGACTATATTATATTCCTTTTGGAATATTTCCATATTAGTTAATTTGTCAAATCATGTTCAGTGGGCTTGGCCATCTGATGATTGAATGCTTTTCTAATTGGTTCTTTTATGTTTGGAGACTTAATGCAAAATGGTTGCTGTTATTTCACATCATTCATGTCAAGTATGCTAAAGCTATTTGAGTGCTCGCATGTTTATGGAAATTTCTAGCTGATTATAACTAGTTTACTTCCATTTGCAGCATGGTGGTGGACATGTGTTCAAGTCTTTGCAGCGACTGGTGCAGAGCTTGAAAAATGGAACCAAGACATTAGGAGTTGTTCTTGTTAAGAATGAAAGCTGTGTTTCACGTCACTTGAAGCATTGTGCACTGGAACATGACATACCAACAATGGTTAGTGTTATTACTTATTCCGCGAGCAAAATTTTTCATGTGTAGGCTTAGCCCCTCAGGGTTTTTATTTTTGGGTCATTAATGATTTATTCTCAAGCCTATCTGAAATTGGCTCAAGATTGATTTAGTTTATTTTTTGAATCAAAAGAAATTTGTTTATAGTTGGGCTTGATCTAATCTTGATTCAAGTAAAAAATCAAATTTATTTTTATCTATTTTTAATACTAAATAATTAATCAAACATTTTTATACATTCATACATAAGTTTATATATATATATATATATATGCATGTGTGTATAAAATTACTGTAAGATTTTATAGCATTCATAAAAATTTGTTTTCTTTAATTATGTAAGTCAAAAAAATGTATAAAAACATAAACTCGAGAATTTGAACAAATTAAATATTTGTAAGATTTTAATCATACAATAAACATAAATTGATTCATGGTGATCTTCTTAGAAACTTTGTGAAAATTATGTCCTTTCATTTGATGTGCATTCTTGTAATGAAAAGAAATCAAGCCTTATAAAGTAGGGACAGGACCACAAGTTACTCAGGCGTTATTTGACAAAATGGTCCATAAACATTTGATTAAGTAACTATATTTTGACCAATAAATTCAAACTCACCATTAATTATTAAATTATGAATTGTTGATAAATATTATATGTGCCATTAATAAAATAACTTTTAATAAATTATTATTATTATTAATAAAATTATATAGCATTCTTTATGTTATTTGAAATAACATAAATAACATTATTTTAACGTTATTGATAATATTCTCCTACTTGGGTGCCCGTATGATATTATTCAATGTAACAAACATGATATGCAATATGAGTTAAACATTTTCTTAATTTGTTCAAATCATAAATTTATCATTAACCAAAAACTTACAAGGATCATGATGGTTATACATCATCATTATATTTTCTTTCATATATCATAATAATGAGTTTCATACTTAACATAATTTATAATGAGATACAATCATAATTGTTCAATGATAATGTCTTTGCTAAAAACAAATCATAGCTTTCCTATGATTTTTTTGTTTATGTACATGTTAATTCAATATAACAAGATGCATTATTGTATTAAAACAATATTAAATGAGCTCAGAGTGTCAAATACATAAAGTCAATGATAATTTTCAGTAATGCACATTTTTTTGATATGTTCATTAAATATTTATGGTGACAATCTTTTGGTTAACGGATCCACAACCACGAGATTGGTGTTAATATGTTCAATTGATAAATTGTTTCTGAACTTTTTTTTTAATGGTAAGTATTTTAATTTCATATGTTTTTCTTCCTTTGAATATTTGTCGTTCTTAGAGAAGAAAATGACTGCAATATTATCATAATAAATTTTCAATAGCTTGACAATATTGTTGTCTACTCCAAGCCTCGAAATAAGATTTCTCAGCTTCCATGATGGATACAACAATGAGAGACTGCTTCGCACTCTTTCAAGAAATTACTTGTCTAACTAGAAAGAAAAAATAACTAAATGTGGGTTTTTTAATATCTATGCATTCAACAAAATTTGAATCTAAACATTATCTCATCTCAAGGTAATTAGATCCCCTATAAGCGACCAAGTGTTTTTTTTTGTTCCTTATAGCTATTTTAGAATTTTCTTTGTAGCCTTTTAATAATTAATTTTTGAATTGCTTTGATATCTACCCAACATTCTAACAACAAAATTAATAAGTAATTTGCTCCATTTATTTTCGTTCCAATTCATTTTTTGGACATTGCATAAGTCTTAATTTTTCTCCTTTTTATTTAGAATAATAAAACCAAGGCATTTTTTCATCTTAAATCTCTCTAAAACTTTATTAATGGCTTTTGAGACCATCCTGTCAATTCTTTTGATATGTCCTGCAATATTTCAGTCCCTATCACATAAGCTTCCTCTCCCATATATTTCATTTAAAAGTTCTTTGAAATAAATTTCTCGGTTTTATATAATAAATCAAGATCATTAGTTGCAAACAAGATACATCAATATATAAAATCAGAAAGATAAACTTGTTCCAACTGATCTTTAAATATATACATCAGTCAACAATGTTTTTCTTAATTCTATAAGAAATCATAGTTATTGAATTTAGGATATCATTGTCGGGAAATTTATGTTTGATTTTTTTAAGTTTACATACTATGTATTCTTTTCCTTCAACGGAAAAGCCCTCGGGTTGCTTCATATAAACTTCCTTTAAATTTTCATTTAGAAAAATAATTTTCACGTATATTTGATATAATTCTAAATCATAATGATCTATTAAGACCATAATAATTCTTATGTGGTACTTTTTCGAGACAAAATAAAATGTCTCTTTGTACTCAACACCATGATTTTTAGTAAAATATTTAGCAATAATTCTAGCCTTGTATTGTTCGATATTATCATTTGAGTCATGTTTGGTCTTAAAGACCTACTTACACTCAACTTGTTTTAAACATACAGACAATTCAACAAGGTCCCAAATTTTATTTTGATCCATTGATTTCAACTTTTCATTCATAGTGTCTAAGCACTTAACATAATTATTACTTTCCATGGATTGTAAAAATGAAATTGAATCTTTATCAATTCCTAGTCAAATTCCGACTCTTGTAAATAATTCACAATCATTCGAAATAATAGATTTTCTTTTTCTTTGAGAATGTCTTAAAGCTACTTTTTGTTGTTCATCAATCACATATTTATTTGTGATAACTTCATTATGAGATGTTTGATCATTAATCTGTTTTCCTTGTAAGTTATTAAATTATTTAACAGTAGTAGGAACAACTTTAGAATAGGTAATGAGTAAAGAAATTTTCATTTTAATGTTTTCAATTTCCATGTTACGTGGTTCTATATTCCCATTAATTTCATCATTTTCAGTGAAATACTTGCTACGATGATAAATCTTTATCATTTTGATTTTTCTGGATAACCTATAAAAGGTTCACTAATCATTCTTGAATATGTTTCTTTTCATGTGGATTATAAATTGTTACTTTTTCTAGGCAACTCCAAATATGTAGGTGCTTTAAATTAGGATTTCTTCATGTCCAGAGTTCAAAATGAGTCTTTGGAATTGTCTTATCAGGAAACACATTTAACATATACGTAGCGGTTTTTAAAGCATGTGTCTACCATGATAAGAGTAAAGAAGAATAGCTCAACATACTCTTAACTATATCCATTAACATATTATTTTGATTTTCAGCTACTCAATTTTGTTGTTGTGTGCCCCAGATTGTGTATTGAGCACATATGTAGTGTTTTTTTTTTAATTTACAAAATAGACAATAGCATTATCTAAATTCATCATATTTTTTATAATATTTCTCCACCTCTATCAGACCTAACAATTTTTATTTTTTTGTCTAATTTTCTTTCAAGCTCATTAATAAATATCTCTAAAGCATCTATTGATTGACATTTTTCATGCAACTAATAGACATACTCATAACATAAACAATTATCAATAAAGATAATGAAAATTTTTTCTCCACCAAAAGGTAGAACATCAAAAGATCAACATATATCAGTATGTATAATTTTCAAAAAATTGTGTGCTTCTTATAACTGATTTATTAATTGTATTTTATGTATTACACTTAATATAATCTACACACATTAAGATCAATAAAATCTAAATTAGGAAGAATTTCATTTATTACTAATCTTTGTATTTTCTTTTTAGATGTATGATCAAACGTTTATGCCACAAACAAGATCTTTCAGTTATTACACCTTTCATTCTCATACTATGTTGTAAGTCAATAGAGTCGGAAGAAATAATTTATCAAGCTATATTTTATATAAACCATCTCAAAGAAAACATGAACTATTAAAATGATTTGTAAACAAAGTGAAACTTTCATTTTCAAACTTAAAATAATATATGTTTGTATCAAGTCTAGACAAAGAAACTAAAATTCTAAAAACAGAAGAAACATAAAGAGCTTGAAAAAATCGCTAAATGATATCAAGTGTCTAAGATCAAATGATACGTTCCAATGGCTTTGTTTGATTTGATTTGATTTCCCATGAAGACGAACTTTTCATTTGACTATATGGTTTGAGTCATAAATAATCCATGCGTCACATTTGAAACATAGGTTATACAATCAGAATCAATCCACCGAGTATTATAAAAGAATTTAGCTAAATTTAATACAAAAGATATAAAAGCATTAGGTTCATCTTTATTTTTGAATCTAGTTTTTATTTTTATTGCATTGTTTCTAGTAGTGTATATGTTTGTGAAAGAAATGACATCTATCATCATTTTGTTACTTTTTTTAGATGAGGACAGATCACACTTTAGCTTTTACGTGTCCTGTATTGCTCTCCACATTTTTTTCCTGGTTTCTTTTTAGCTTCAGGCTATCCCATGAGATTAATTGAGTGAATTTATTATTTTTTAAAAGCCTTACTTCCTATTGAATAAACATATTTTATAATTCAGTTACATTTCATTTATCTTCTATAGTATTGTAGTTTATTTGGAATGAATCATATTTATGAGGCAAAAAAATTTTAATGAACTATGCAAGGAAAATTTCACTCTCGTCCATTCTCATTGTGACTAATCTTACTGCACTATTTGACTTTGTTGTAATATGTTCATGCAGAGTATGTGAAGCATCAAACTTAATAGTGGTCAAAATACCCATTAAACTCTGGACAATTGACTTATTTGCACTCATATTGAGACGAATTTTTCACAAACTTTATAGATCTTTTAGCATCCTCAGTTTTTTGAATTGTTGTTTAATGATGTCTGCTACAATCATTCCCATAAATATTAAGTTAAGTATGTTCGAACTTTCCCAAGCATTATAGAGAAATTGTTGTTCAAAGCTACTAGTATCGATAATAGCAATAAATTTATCATTTAAGTAGAACCAAATTAATATCCAAAACACTGAAATAGAATTAAATTTGTTTACTCCATTCAATAAAATTAAGCTCATTAAACTTCGTAATAGACGAAGCTTATTAGATGCCGAAAAATAAATATATAATACTCATGCATGCATATACTGAATGATAAATTCAAACACATTAGATATATTCATATGATATTTAAAAATTTATTCAAATTGATATTAAAATTCTTCTTTGAGTGATGCTACAATATACGATAATAAAACATTATTGATGCTAACTTTATTTTTCTTACAATTATTAATTATGTTTACTCCAATTAAATATGTTTGCTATGTTTTTTTATACTAAGCATATCCAATCAAGTATATTATTCAACCACAATCACGTTCATGGTCACAAAATTGACTGATCAACATTTGGGTTGTCAAATAATCAATAAACTTCAAGTTATTAATACAACAACAACAACAACAAAGCCTTAATCCCACTACGTGGGGTCGGCTACATGAATCCTTTTTCTCCATTGCGTCCTATTTAGTGTCATATTTTCATTTAGTTCTAGTAAATTAAGATCATTTTTAATACAATAAGCCCAAGTCTTCCTAGGTCTACCTCTGCCTTTCTTAACACAAGTCGAATCTAAAACATCTACTCTCCTAATCGGATCATCTAATGGTCGACGTTTAATATGACCAAACCATCTAAGACGACTTTCTCTAATTTTGTCTGTCACAGGAGCTACACCAACCCTATCACGAATATATTCATTCCGCATTTTGTCTCTAAGTGTAAAGCCACTCATCCACCTAATCATTCTCATCTCGGCAACACTTAACTTATTATTATGCTTCTCTTTTAAAGGCCAACATTCAGCGCCATAGAGCATTGCAGGTCTCACCACCATCTTATAAAATTTTCCTTTCAGTCTTAGCG